AATGGCACCATCATCCTCACCGCTTGCACTCCAAACATCAACAACTCACGCACACAGGCACACGGAATAAAGAAAATGGACTGCGCCGGAAGCAAAGCAACTGCCATCAAAAGCAGAAGCCACTGCGGGTGCTTCTGCATCGCGTCAGCACACACCGAGCAACGTCCACACAAAAAAACCGGCGGAATGCAAAACGGCACAGCCGCCCCCCGCAGCACACACGCGCTGCCGCCAGCCGTTTGAATTCTTTTCCCTCCAACGCACCCGCTCGACCGCCGGCGCACAACACCCCGCACAGCCGGAGAATCCCCTGTCGGTCAATCCACGGCGGGAGAGACACATCGGCACGTGCAGCTGCTTGGCGGGAAGCAAAACACACTTATCCCAGGCACCCAAAGGCTCACCGCTCACTGGCTGCACGCCACCAACATCGCAGCCGCAACACGGCCAGGGGACGAATCGCGGGCTACTGTCCTCCATCCTCGCAAGGCACCGCGGCCTGGAAGCACGTCCGAAAGGCCAAACACAAGCCGCATGGAGCTGCGTCTTCGATGCGCCGTGTGAGCCACACCACGGTGACCGTTGCCTTTCCGCGAAGAACACAGACGACAGCTAAGAGAACGAAATAAAATCGAAGCCGCAGAGGGCACACACCAGCAGCACACGGCCGGTCATCGTCATCGCCATCACTCCTGTCACTTGCGTGTAGCCTTCAGTACAAACTAACAACACGTCAACGCAGAGTGAAAGTAACAAAAGGAGAGACGAGTCATTCAGCCACGCACCGTCCCATCCAGCAATGAGAGTCACACACCACCACAACATTTGGGTGGGCGCGGCTCAACAACAATCAAAAAACAAAAGAGGGGCGCTCCTCGCCCGTGCACCGTTCCTCACACTCCCACAGTCACCACTACTGTTATTCCCTCTCTCCTCAGTCCCTCACAGGCACGCCACGCTCACTCCAACACGCGCCCCTCACAGCACGGGCAGTCCGTCATGCGCTCCCGCTGCGCCGCAACGTCGTGCCGCCTTCCACAATCATGAGCGCATCGCCCAACGCGTACTGGCGCACGTGCTCCATGCGCCGCAACCACACACGGATCAGGTTGGCCGTCATGCACTGCATCTCGTTGTCGTCCTTCTGCTTGGAGCAGACCCTCACACCCTCTCAATCCACAGCCTGGGTGCTGCGAGAGGCGGCCGAGTAGTGCCACGTGTCTGAAGATCCAAATGTACGGAAACAACGGCCACCCTCACTCCCGCACAAATCTCCACTCCCTCCACTGTCCCGCACACAAGGGCGGTGTCATGTGGAAGAGAAGCCCGCTGCACAGCACATGCATAAGGCATATGCAGAGAGAACGTCATCCACGTCGCACCGCAAGTAACAGCTATGCGCCCGGCACACACACAAAAGCAGGGAAAAAGGGACGGGGCGTCACCAAATCCACGCTGCAGTCCTTTACTTCTCTCTTCCCCGGCGGATTGGCATTGCGTCCCACACCCACAAATGAGGCACGGCGCACACAGTCCGCTCCCTCCGAGTGCACTCAGCAGGCCGCCGCCCAGTCACCCTCGTACCGTCGTAACGGGGAACAAAAACAATCGTCGTCGCGGACCATCGGTGCCACTGGCAGAAAAGAGGAAGTGGGGGCATTTCAACAGAGCAGACAGCAGAGGTACAGTCAACGGGACAAGTAGACACACAGTGACAGTGGATACGGTAAAAATGGAAGCACGCTGCAGTGTGTTACCAAAGAAAAGGAAAAAATGAGAGTCCGGCATGACCCTCAAAAGAAACAATTAGGAAAATAGATTAGGTCGTAATTTTATTTCATGCGCCATGCAACGCAATAAAAACGACCGGGTGCATATACACATTGCCCGCACCAGGAAAAGAAAAGTAAGAAGAAAAAAGATCGTACTGTTCCACCAGCCCACACAACACTCTCTTCACATTTCATTGCGGCATCCGGCCTGTCCCTCCGCTCCTCCTTTCGTGCAGTCCGTGGGACGCACAGCAATGAGGCCGGCACCGCGTGTGGGCAACAACAAAAACAAAACAAGAGGAGAAGCACGTCACCCATGACAGTGTGCAGCAACCGACCATTAAATAAAGGAACAGCAAGGATGCTTATCATTCCAGGAAGGCAACAAAGCCAACAGTGAAATGTAAATAATAAAAGAAAACACGCAGGGAACGCGGCACATGTTCTCCGTGAGGAGTCGCAATGCCACACTCTTCGGCTCACAATACCGCCACAACTCCACACAATCCCAGAAGAAGCAACACCCAATACACGCACACACGCACAGTGCTGCCAACAGTTAACTCTCGCAGTGTCAATTTCGCGTCGTTGTGCAGGGCAAAGCAGTCGTCGGGACTCACACCGCTCCCGGAATACTGCGCGGTGAATTCTCGCAATTGGGGCTCTCGTGCCCAGAGTCATTGCGTTGAGTCAATCCGCCCGCATCACCCTCACCAAAAAATCCACTGCCTGCAACGCCATTTCCTGAAACGAGAGATTTGTGTCCAGTGGCGCTGCGCTCACTCACCTCGTCCGTGTTATCCGCAGCAACGTGTTCCCTGCCGCCATAAGTGACAGACACGATCCCGGATGCATTCGACGCCACTAATATTCTCGGACCGTTGGCAAAGGAAGGCCTCTTCTTGGATGCATTCGGGACCATCACTTCGTTCGGATTGCTGGCAAACTCAGGCCTCGTCTCGGGCGTGTTGGTCGCCGTGTTGGATGCGGGACTCCGATCGACGGTGTTGGCTCCGTCAGCCGCCGCAGACCGTCGCCGATCCTCGTGTTGACGTGACGGCTCAGCATTGACTTGCGGCGCAGTTGTCCCACCAGATTTTGTGTCATCCTTCCCTTCACGGGGTGGCGGCAACTGACGGATGCCCGTCCGGTCAGCATCGCCGCTCCGTGCAGGCGGATGGATGGTTCCATCGGGGGAAAATTGACGCCACCACAATTCATAAGGGCCGGCGTATTTATGTGCCGTCACATTCATCGTGGAGGCAACGGTGGCCCTTTCCTCTTCCGCTGCACAGCTGGCAGCACAGTTGCTACATGTGTGCACCGCATGGGCCACATGGCACACAGCACCCAGCTCACCATTCCTGCCATGCATGCGCACACCAAAGCCACTGAAAGTGTAATTCTCCTACTGAGCCTCAGCAGCGGCAGCGGAACACTTCTTCCAAGCACACACACACACAAGCACGCGATAGCTCAGGCTGCCGTCACTCGGAGCACACGACACATCCACCGGCACAACCACCGCATCCGCATCACCAGATACATCTCCAGCACTCCCAGCAGCCGTCACGCACACGGACAAGCAGCAGAAGCAAAAGAGCGCGACTGCCAACATGCACTGCAAAAGGAGCATTCAAATCCACTGCAATGTGCATCTTGTGGTTGTGTGTTTGTGTGCCTGCAGAAACACAAAACAAAAAAAAAAAACAGCGACCAGAGTATGTGGAGAGACGCACAAAAATGTACAGCGGAGGTGCATGGCGGAAACAACAAGAAGAAGAAGACCGCTCAAACTCATGACTGCACTGCAGCCCAAGCAATGGCAATTCACAAAAGATTTAAAACAACTTTCCCCTTCGTCTTATATAAACCCCATCACACAAAATAATTATAAATAAAAAAAAGAAACCGTCCATTACTGTTCCACACAAATTTAAAAAATCGTCTGGCTGCCGTGTGGCCACACCAAACTGTCCGCATTTATTTTGCCCGCAAAAGAAAATTAAAAGATATTTAAATGTCATTCAACCGTCTGACCCTCTGCGTGTCCGCACATCGTTTATATTTCATGGGGTCATCTGCGTGTTGCCGCTCCCCTCAGCCCTCTCATCGGCGCGTGAATGCGGCCCGCAGCGCACAGTCACTCGTGTGTGTGGGGACTGAGAGAAGCACGCAGACACGACGGCAGTCACGTCACTCCATCGGGAGAGTGAGCGCAGCAAAAGAAAAAATCATCGGAGGGGAGAGAAATGCTCACGAGGCCGACACCGAAGGAACTGCCGGCGCGAGAAATGCACACGCAAAGCAAAAAAAAAAATTACTTTAAAGAAAAACACGGCGGCAGGGTGTGGCTGTGTGTGTGGCGCTGCGGGTGTCTGCCAGCCCTGACAGCAAAACAAACAAAACAAGAGGGAAAGAAATGTGTGCGCCGCCCCACAGGCCCTCGTCGCACGCCCACACGTCACGGCTCCCTCAGCGCGCCGTTCGTCGCGGCCCCTCCCCATGCGTGCAGCAGGCGAGGCGCACAGGGCCGTCGTCATGAGCGTGTCGGTGGGTGTGCGAGTGGAGCAGTTGGGCGGGAAACACACGGCACTCCTCGCAGGAAGAGTGCAGCAACAAACAATAAAAGAGGGAAGAGTAGAAAAGAAAAAAAGTCCATAGTGATTGCCCTAAATCATCAAGCAAAAAAAAGAAGGAATGGGGTAGTAAGAAATAATAAAAAAAAATTATTCTCCAAGGAGTAAAACATATTCCTAGCGGCGTGTGTTTGTCGCTGCAGAGGAGAGCGCAAGTGTTCCACACTGAGGCCGCACGCTCCTCACGCAGCCGCAAAGCCCCACAGTCCCAGGAGAAGAAGCAGCGGCAGCAGTCCGCTCTCAGCAGATGTCAAGCCCATCACAGCCGCATGTTCTCTGGCGGCAGCTCCCTCCAGAGCTGCCCACCCCGCCAGTGCTTCCCCTGGGCCATTCGATGTGTGGGCCTTGTCCTTGATTGCAGTCATCTCAATGGAATTCAGTGGGCGGCTGTACAGAAAGACGTCAGTCACCGTCACATGGGATTAATGCCCACAGCACGCGCCAAAGCAAAACCTCGGGACCTCAGGTGGCTTCTGACCTGTTAACTGC